TCATCGGCCTGCTGTTCACACTTGATGGCTGCCACGTCCAGCAATTGTGGCACGGAAAGGGCCATATAGCTGCATAGTTCGTCCTTGCGTGACAGAGCATCCGCGACCCTGTTGGCAGCCCCTGGTTTATAATGCACCTCAAAGTCATACCCCATTAATTGGGAAATCCACCGCAGGTGTTCTGGAGGCAGAAGCTGCTGGTCTAGCAAAACCCGGAGGCTTGGCTGGTTCGAGCGGACTACGAAGTGCCTCCCGGACTTCCATGACTCGGTGGTTGGGGGACACTCCAGTTTCCTGCGGACCTACAAACGTATAGCAGCCGTTTTCTTTTGGAAGGGAATGAAAAAGGCCATCAAGGATTATGTGGACATGTGCGAGACGTGCCAACATTCAAAAACAGAAGCCTTGTCGCTAGCAGGGCTACTACAACCACTACCTATCCCAGCTCGGATTTGGGAGGATGTCTCTATGGATTTTATCGGTGGCCTCCCAAAATCACGAGGAATGGATACTATATTCGTCGTCGTTGACCGACTATCCAAATATGCGCATTTTTGCCCTTTGGCGCACCCTTATACAGCCGCCCAGGTGGCTGCCTTGTTTGTCCGCGAGATCGTCTGATTGCATGGTTTTCCCCGCTCCATAGTCAGCAACCGCGACTCGATTTTATGAGCCATTTCTGGCGCGAAATGTTCCGACTCCAGGGAACACGGCTGCACCCAAGCACAGCTTATCATCCCCAATCAGACGGCCAAACGGAAGTTACAAACAGTTGCTGGAAACATACCTCCGATGCTTCGCTTGCGACAAGCCGCGGCAGTGGATGTCGTTTTTACCTTGGGCAGAATATTGGTTTAATACTACATATAATGCTTCCACCAAGTACTCTCCGTTTCAGGTGGTGTATGGCCGTGAGCCTCCTCCCCTGTATCGTTTCCCCGAAGGATCCACAACCGTCAACAAGGTCGATGTCCAGCTCCAGCAGCGCAATCTCATGCTAGACGCTCTCAAGGATCATTTGCTCTTAGCACAGCAGCGCATTAAGCATTTTGCTGATCAGCACTGCAGGGAAGTCGACTTCGCCCCTGGGGACTTGGTTTTACTTAAGCTGCGGCCCTATTTCATGAAGTCGTTGGCACGGAAAATCAATGAAAAACTGAGTCCTCAATTTTATGGACCCTTTACCGTTCTAGCTAAGGTCGGGCCAGTTGCTTACCACCTCAAGTTGCCGGAGAGCTAAAAAATACACCCGGTCTTCCACGTCTCTCAGCTTAAAGCCTTTAAGGGGCAGCAATACAGCGGCCAGGAATTGCCGGAGCAATTGACTGATACGCTGGAGCTCTTGGTTTAGCCCGTATCCGTGTTGGACTCCCGGTCGGTGAAGGTAGGGGGGCGCCAAGTACATGAGGTATTGGTGCAGTGGAAGGGGTTTACCACAGGAGGATGCTACCTGGGAGCCGCTGGTCACCATTGCAGAGCAGTTTCCAGACTTCGACCTTGGGGACAAGGTCGGGCTTGAGAGGGGGGGTAATGTTAGCACTCCGGCCCTCAAGTTTGTGTATGCGAGAAGGAGTAAGAAGGAGCAGGGGCAGGAAGGGAAATTGGCTGCCATAGGATCAAGGCAAGAATAGGGGACGTTGTTAGAATACGGTTATAGGGTTATGGGGTGTGTGCAAGGATCAGATTTGGGGAATTGGGAAGTTAGTTAGAGTGTGGGAAATGAATAGCCTACGGGCAGAGAATGTAGGTATCGAAAATTGAGAGTAGACTTGAGTCTGTGGAGGTTAGGAGGTGTCCTCGAATTCACCTCCATCTTTAATTTCCAGCATTGTATTTTGTCTTTCCTGTAAGTTTTGACTATCATTCAATCAAAGGAACCAGGCCTTACTAGTTATTTCTTCGGATCCCTGTTGTTTCCTCTTGTCCAACGAATACATTTTGTCTAGAACAGAGGGAGTCCCAACAATATATAATTAATGTAGCTATCACAAAAAGAAATTTTATAACTATGTTTTTTAGCAATTAAAATGCATAAATATTACGAACTGAAATTTAGTAATAAAAACAAGAAAAAGGGAGAAAGAAGAGAAAAGAGGTTCTTTTTGTTTCTTTATAAACCAGAAATACCAAAAAGGGGTTCACTTCCTAACACTTTCTCTAGTTTAATACCACTCCTAACTTTGTTACATAGAAATCAATTTCACAAGAAATGAGAACCAAAAAAAAAAAAAAAAAGACTGATCCAAACCAGCCATTTTCTTCCCGTTCTTGTCAAACCGCCTCAATAAAAAATGCATAGTAGAAATTGCACGTACAGCCAAATAACATATATCAAACACAAACAAACAAACAAAACTTGCGCACCTCATAGGGAAAAATGAGCATTGTCATCTCAATGACACCAAGTGGTGTGCCTAAAATCAATTGCAGACCAGTTCTAACTCTGACTTGAGGCATATAAAATCTAATATACAAAAAAGAAATAAAAAAAAAAAGTAGTCATACAACAGTAAAAACCAGGAGAAAAGGAATGTGACTTGAAGAATCATAAATTCAAGGATCAACATAAACTATGAGGCCCACAACAATATCTTTTCAAAAAAATAAAAACAAACGATAGCCAAATCAAGAAATTTTGTCAAACACAAAAATTATGAAGAAAAAAGGCACCATCTGCAAGTAAGAAACACGTTGAAGGAACTGATAGGGAAAAAATACAACAGTAATTAAACACATTGAAGGAATTGATAATGAAAAAATACAACAGTAATTTTCACTCAATGAAGAAACTAACACTTCAGGTTTGACAACAAAGAAGGAAGGAAAAAAAAAGCTTCAGAGTAGGAACTGGTTAGCCCAAACGAAAAAAAAAGAAACAGAGAGAGACGAAAATGATTATGACTTTGAGAAAACACAATCAAAGAGAGATCAGTCAATTGGGAAACATAAGTAATTAAAAAGATGATCAGAGACCGTAATTATTATGAACGTTAAAATTCACTCAACAAACTGAGATGAGCAAATGACAATGTATGGAGAATCTCTCAATCCAATCTCTCATTCAATTTTACCACACTTTCTCAACAACCAAACACTCCCAAAATAAAATAGAATCAAAAAATAGAGAAGTAGAGTTCGTCACCAAAATATAGAAATCGACATCATCAATCAAGTTGATGGGGATTTGAAATAGCAAAACAGCGTCGCTAGAAGACATTAAAGAAGAATCACCCAAAAGCATCATCCAGGACCCGACTTTTCAGGAATGCACGGCGGAAAAAATCCACCTCTCTTCAAAGCAAGCAAATCCCTAAAAGAAAAAATCGTTCAAGTGAGTAAAAGTGAAACCCAGATCTCTTCTCTCTCTCTCTCTTTTCAATTTTTTATTCAATATACATATATGATAGATGCCAGTAATTTAACTCAACTAAAAGACAACTGTAACTTACATAAGCTGAGCCATCTAGCAATGTGATAGGGTCCTTCCCTATCCTTCCCGATTAAGAACGTTAACTAGAAAAACAGAATGAGAATGGAATAAAAATTTCCCAGAAGATAGGGATCAGAATCCTTTTATTAATCAACTCCACAATTCCAGAATTACAGCCGATGAACTCCGGCACTAGACAGAAATGAAAGAAAGCAAGAAAGATAGAACTGAGAGAATTTGAGGTCTCTCTTCCTCCCTAGACCAGCCAATCTCTTTCAAAATATTTGATGCCCTCCCTCCCCACACGTTCCCTCTCCTATATTCCCTCTCCAACCAATTTCCCTAACAGAATTGCCAACTCAGCATCCTCGCTAGTCCTCACCACGTCACTTCCCGCCTTCCCCTTTTTACCCCTCCTAGTGTAGGTAAATCTCAAAGGAGGCCCTGATCGGTCTCTATCACAATGCGAAGCATTCAAGTGAGTAAAAAGTAAAAAACAAAAAGGGCAAAATTGGAAGAAAAAGATTGAACACCACATGCCTGCTTTGAGACTTAGTACATAGAGATAGAAACAAACGTTGATTTAAAACAAAAAAAAATCAAACAACATTCTATTCAATGGAACTTGGAAAGCGCTAACCAAACTGAAAGAGCCTAAAAATTTTAAGGGAACTCAAAATTGTACAGCACTAAACCTAAAATACAAATCATGTGTTGAGCAAAAAATACAAACTATGCATATCAAAACAATTTTGGTGTGTTTTGACAAAAAGGTAAATGCTTAGTCTTTAATTTTCATGTAGTTTAGTAATAAAGAGAATTCTTAGAGGATGTAGGTTGTGCAAAACTCCACAGAGCATCAGTAGTTCTAATCCTTATGTTCTAATCCTTATTTGTATCTAACTTCTTTATTTTTTCAAGCAGATGGGCATATCTAACAACAAAGAATGTTCAAGTTTTTCCAGCCAATATGGACGACTAGTTATAAGTACATGCTCCGCGCGTGGACGTTTTGACGAATTTATTGGATGCAAAAATGAAAATCATATTGTACTTTTACAACACATTTTAGAGATTGTAAATATATATAGAATAAAAGAAAGATGAAGATAAGTTTTGTTTTTGTTCTATGATTATTTAGCATTTTGATCGGCGAAGGTCGCACCAATGAGTAGAAAGTTTAATAACCATTTGATGTTTAATTTTCAAACAAAATTAATGTGTCGAGCATAACTATTTACATCGAACGTTATAGTTACAAAAGTTGGTTGAGCAAATATACGAGGAAAAAGTCAAAGAAATATTCCTAAACTCTTTTGATGATGAAATTCAGTAAGACAATCAGAACTTAAATTCTTTCAAGACAAGTTCATACTAATCTACCAGAAATTTCAGGATGAAAAAAAAAAAAAAAGAAAAGTCAGTAATACAGGAGTCAAACTTAGATTTGAGGAATAAAAGGACATGTATAGAGAAGATATTTCCACAAGTCGCCCTTTTGAACTACATTTGCGCTCCTCTTTAACTTTTATGCATAATCTTGTTCAACTTTCTCCAACACTTTCAATGCCTTAAATAATTCCTAAACGGAGAAACATCTTTTTCTTTCCTTCAGTCAGTTTCAAAGAATGGAATCTGTTCATCATTAATTCAAACTAAGATGAACAGAGAAAGAGATACCAAACTTAAGCAGTCAGTAGAGTAAGAAATCAGTTTCTATTTATCATAGAGCACTTTTATAGCTGAATTGGTCAGGAAATAACTGTAACTAAGAGGGGACTAAAAATAAAAATTAAAAAAAAAACATAATAACTCACAGCTATATGATTAACCAGAGTCATTAGTTGTTGTATAGTTGACTCTGCATTGAAGCACTTATTTTTAGCATGCTTCATGACCAACCTATTAAAGCAAAATATATGAAGAAGAAACAATCAGAATCTTACTCAAAATCTTTGGATGGAAAGAAAATCTTAAAGCAGAAAAAAAGGATATCTTAGATATTACTTTAAATGGAAACCCAACGGTTCTATCTCACATGCAACTTGCACAAGCCCTACAAAAATGTAATATATATCATCACAGCAAAGATATCACCATCATTCTTCACACCTCATACATCTTAGAGAGAACTAAAATAATTGCACACATTCATGTTGAGGACAATAGAGCACGAAGGATGCAAATTTCCAATAAAGAAGACTGTAAATGTCCCTTACTAGCTTCCAATTTTGAAAAGGAAGACACGAGCCCATTATTGCTAGCATGACCAATGACACGTACAATTAAAAGACATGCATTAATTGATACAAAGCAAAGGAACAAGAGAAAATTTGAAGAAATATAAATGATTAAAAGGGTAGAAGGAAAAAAGCAACGCTATAATAATACTATATCTATACAACCTCTCTAATACCTAAACCAGAACAACCATTGTCCAGAAAAGACATTTGGCTCATCTTCTTTTTTTTCCCCCTCTTTATCGCTTGATCTAATTTCAGTTTCTAAACATACCTGTATTGTTTCTTGGGGTAGGATATAAGTTTTTGTTGTGAATTCATATGGGCTAGTTTTTCTCAAGAATTTCACCTTCCTCTCAAGTTTTCCTATACAGCCTACAGCCAAGTCTTCAAAGCTGTGAGATAGAAGATCAATGATCAATTCCAAAAACCTTAAATATAAAACCTAATCGCCAAAAATACGTGGAGTGTTGATAATTTAAAAGAACCAAATAAAATCAAGCAACAGAAGTGTTCAAATGAAGATATAATTAGACAGAAAAAAAGGGAAAGAAAAGCATATGACAAAGACAAAATAACAAAAATGACTCGTTCATTACAATACATAGTAGAACACGAAATGGCCTAATAACTTTTTCATAATGAATCCCTAAAACAAAGTAAAATACATGTTGAAATAGAATTTATGAAAACGTTAATTTGAGGTAAAATATGCAGCTAAGCCAAATGAAGAAAACCACTACAAAGTATAAACTGCAGCAAATTAATTATATTGACAGTGAGAGAGAGAGAGAGAGAGAGAGCCAACCTGTCAAATGCTTTAAATTTCTGAAATCAGGATATCATTTTTTTTTTCCTTCGACATAGTATTACCTGATTTTTATTCCATGGCATTTGTATCAACATAAATTCTTGATTCCACATCAGCTGTACTTGTATAATCTCTTGATAACAAGCGTTTTTTCATTGAGGTAACTCCATACCGGTAAGGCCACATGCCACAAGCATGTTTGTCTTCCCTTGTCTGGTTATGATCACCAATAATAGCAGAAAAATATCAGGCCTATAAAAACCTCCTATTATCATAACAAATTTATAGTGTTCGCGATACTTTTGTTTATCTAAGACAGGAAATTATAAACTCGAGACATGAAGATAAAATGTAAGATTTTCATTGCAACCCCATACAGAGCAGAGCAGAATACAAGAATTTGCGTTTGTTTCGTAGCTTAAACTACTGTTAAACTTTTTTGCTAAAACGTTTACGCTTGTAAAATTTAAATTTCCTTTCAAACTTATGAACCAAACAACCGATAATTTGAAGTATCATCAGAAATTTTTAAAGAAAAAACGACCATCCAAACGAAAGGGAAAAAAAACATATGAAGAAGGAGAAATAACCTCCATCAAAGAGGGAAAACCCCATAGATGATCGAAGCCCCCAAAGAAGAGTGAGGTTTTTTTTTTTTTCATTCGTTTGACCCACATCAAAAAGGGAAGAAAAGAAAGGACATGAATTATCAAAACCCTTAAAGAAATCTTTAAGAAGGATGCATGAGAAATATATTGAAGATACATTTGAGAAAATTTGAAGAAGCTACATTTTTAAAGGGAATGAAAATTTTAAGATCGGATCCTCCCCTCGGGAGACTCAATCGAGCGTGCGAGTGCCCGCGAAGCTGCTTCCTTCCGAGTTCGAGGCGAGGCAGGCGAAGGGAACTCAGTGAGTTAGGGTTAGGAACACGGGGGCTTGTTTCTTCGTTAGGGCTAGAAGAGAGAAAGAGAGCGAAAGTGAAGGTTAGAGCGCAAATCATGAGGGGGAGAAGAAATCGAAGGAAGGGGAGATAAGTCTCGGTGTGATCGAGAGAGAGACACAGAGACAGAGGAAAGAGAGAGAACGTGACGGTGCTGTGATTTTAGAGAGAGAAACAGGGAAACTGCTAGAACGGCTGTAAAAATTGAAAATACAGAGGATGAGTTATTCGCGCAGGGTGTACTGTAGGGTATGAATTATATGTCGACAATTTTTTTCCATAAAAATAACTGTTATTAGTCTTTTTACTTTTGCCGTTCGATTTGTATTAAAATTATTGTAGTATATTTTTTTAATTAAATGTAATTTTGATTAATATTAACCGTCAATAATTGAGATTATTAATAAAATGAATTATCGGATATTACTGATATTTTGTTAATTTTATATTTTTATTAAAAATTATTTTTATTAAATTTTTAAATCACAAAAATTATTTATTAAAAGCTATTTTGTTGAATTTTTCTTTATATATATTTCAGTGAGTTTTTTTGGATGATTGATTAATACTAAGAAAATTAGAAATTACAATTTTTAGTCTCATGAAAGTAGTGCACAAATAATTTTAAAATTTTTACAGTTTTTTGTGAAAAAAATATTAACAAATTGAAAGATTAAGGGCTTGTTCTTTTTGAGTTTAATTTGAGTATAATTCTTGAGTTGAATTTGAATTATAACTTGAGTTGAACTTATAACTTGAGTTTGTGTTTGGTTGTGTACATTTGAGTTATGGTTTGAGATAATAATCTTTTTGAGTTTGTGTTTGAGTTAATCAAAACTTGAATTTGTATTTAGATAGTATTTTAATAAAAACTCAATGCTGATGAAAAATTTTAATATGGTATATGGGTCGGATTTTATTCGTCTTTTCGTTGTCAACGCATAGAAAAAAAATCATCTCAATCAGAATTAAAACGAAAAAGTTATACCATTTTTAAGAATAGAAAAAATACTGTTCATTAATTTGAGTTTGAGTTTTTGAACTCGAGTTGAAGGGAAAACTTGAACTCGAGTTTTAGTCCTAAACTCGAGTTTGAACTCGAGTTTAAACTTAAAAGAATATGAACTCGAATAAAGTTGTAACTCGAGTTGTATTTTTTTGAGTTTTTCACTCAAAAGAACAAGCCCTAATACTTTTAACAGTGGAATGTAGGGGGAGCTACAGTAAAAGAAGTATGATTTCCTATATAGTTATAGATATAGATAGATTATTATAAAAATTGATTAAAGATTTTTTTTGTTTCCTTTTAATGGGTCTAGAGTTTTTTTGTTTTCTTAATCTAATAACAATGAAGGGTTGATATTGAGTATAACAATGAGCGAAAAAACTCAAAAAAAGTAACTCGAGTTATAATTTTATTCGAGTTCATGCTCTTTTAAGTTTGAACTCGAGTTTGAACTAGAGTTTGGGTTTGGGACTAAAACTCGAGTTCAAGTTTCCCTTCAACACGAGTTCAAAAACTCGAACTCAAATTAATGAACAGTATTTTTTCTATTCTTAAAAATGCTATAACTTTTTCGTTTTAATTCTGATTGAGATGATTTTTTTTCTATGCGTTGACAACGAAAAGACGAATAAAACTAGACCCATATACCCTATTAAAATTTTCCATTAGCATTAAATTTTTATTAAAATACTATCTAAATACAAATTTAAATTTTAACTTACTCAAATACAAATTCAAAAAGATTTTTATCTCAAACCATAACTCAAATATACACAACCAAATATAAACTCGCGTGACTAAAACTTTTTGCTACAACAGTTTTAGTCGCAGAATTTTTTAGTGCAAGTAAAACTTTTTATGTGAATAAAATCCTTATGACCAACGTCAAATAGTACTGACTTTTCACATCTGTTGGAGCACAACCATCGTGAGAACATTTTTTCTTTTTTTTTCACTGGCAACCAAAACGAAAATTCTTCCATGCAAGTCAAACGCGTTGTACGGCATGGAATTAGCACGAGCTATTCATATTTGTATAGTAGTCGCTTTTCGGTAAAAATAAAAAAATATGTGTTATTTGATCATTATTTTATAGAGCAACATGAGATGGTCCTGTGATATTAAGGGCATTTTAAAAACTAATTTGGCTGCAATTATTCGCTTTTATGTTTTTCTTTCAAACCAATATATTTATGAGACGTTTGATTCATGGATTAGAATCATGTGATTAGAACTATTTTTTATTTACGTGTATTTTTTGTGAGAAAAAACACTGTAATGAATCATGAATCATGATTCAAATCATAGTTTGAATCTTCCAACCAAACATCTTTTAATCCCTTAAATGCTCCTATGGACACACATTAGAATGAAGACCAATTCCCCTAAAACCAGTAGAGACACGAATCAAATCTGCCATTAAAGCTCCCAGATGAAAACTCACATTGATTTGCTGGTGAAAAACTGTCACGCCCCCAAACCGGGGTTAGTGACGTGGAGGCTCGTTTAGAAATTTAAACCTGTTTGAGAGAGTGATTAGCAAATATTTTAATTTTTTTTCAAATCCAAAACATCCAGGTATTTCTAAACAAGCCCCCTGCATTCAGGAGAAATTTAATTTCGAGGAAGGTGGTGGAATTTCCAACCAAACCAGTTAAAACCACGTTCCTGGTATCAAGTCAGGAATTCCCCACAGGTGTTTAGCATACATGAATATAAACAAAAGTAAATGCGACATCAACCACAGTCTAGCAATATTTAAGTTTACAATCCATAATCTTTTATACATGCCTTGAGATAAAAGATAAAAAGAAATACAACTCTTCGCCTCCCGAAGACGAGTCCACGTCACCGGTAGTAGTTACCTACTCCGCACTACTCCTCGCGTCGCCTGGAGGGGTTTAATATATTGAAAACATAACAAAAGTGAGCGAAAGGCCAGTAGGATATAATTTTATAAAGCATTTAAAATAAAGATACTCACGGTCTGAAGATATACACCCGGAATCGGTCATCCCTTTTTAGAAAAGGAAATACTCACATAGTAGAAAATATATGTATAATGAAAGTGTGCAGCTCATCATACCACTAAACAAAAAACGGTAAAAATGTATGTCTAATGAAAAGTGCAGAGCCATAATTTCACTAAACAAGAAGTGGATCCGTACGGGTTCTGGGACCTGCCCCCAAGGATGCGATTCCCACATCCCGATCTCTGTGGCCACCATGCTTTGTATCATTTCTTAAGATATTTCATTTTAAGAAATGATACTCTTTAAAATCTCATTTCCAAAATCATTGGAAAACTTAATAGCATTCTCATGCTATTCCTTTGAAATCATTTTCTTTAAACAAGTTTTGTTCTAAAATATTTTCATTGGCCAGAGGCTAACAAGGATATGGACAAGAATATCCTACCTCTCAGATGTCAAACCTATGGCTATCTCCACGTAGCCCTAGCTCCGCTTACCTTTGAGGCTCCAAGTCCAATCGTGCCACTAACTTTCCCATCAAAATCAACAATTTAGAGTTTGAACTTTCTCACCAAACATTCTCGTTTAATTAGATGCAATTGTATCATATTAGTGTGTCATAGTTCAAAATCAATGTTCATAAATAATTCTTAATTCAAATCATGATTCTTTGACAATCGAATGGAAACAAGGATTCATGTAGCTAATCCACTCATTTTGAGTTCTCAAATGAGGTTAGGTCAATCCCACATCGAATTTCGTGGTCAAAACATGGTTTTTGGGCTGTTTAGGGTCGGGTTCAGTGGGAACCGGTCGACCGGTGACAGAGGAGTGTAACTCCACCGGTCGGCCGGTGGAGAGGTGACCGGTCGACCGGATCGGTCGACCTGTGGAAGGGTGACCAGTCGGCCGGTGGAGAGGTGACCGGTCGACCGGATCAGTCGACCTGTGGAAGGGTGACCGGTCAATCGGTGGGGAAGAGTTCCAGGGCCAGCCATGGCCGATTCGCGAGGAACAAAGCCAAAACCTATGAATTTTGGGTTCGATTTCGACATATTCTCAAGGGAAATGTATAGATCCAGTTCCAAATCAACAAATGGGGTCCAAAGAATCAAAAATCCCTAATTTTTATCAAGGTTTCACCAAATCCCATTCGAATTCCATTCGAAAATAAAATTTAAACCAAAAATTACCAAACTCGACTAAAACGAGTTCCACAAAGCTAAATCTAAAAATCTAAAGTAAGTTTTAAAGAGTTTTATCTCGATCCAAG